CTAGATATAGATTAGAGTAGGATACACAGGGAGTAGGGAGTCCTGGACCTTGTCAGGGACCTAGATATAGATTAGAGTAGGATACACAGGGAGTAGGGAGTCCTGGATCTTGTCAGGTAACTAGAAATAGATTAGAGGAGGATACACAGGGAAAAGGAAGTAACCTACAGTATTAATTCCTTTCAGTCGTCTGTGAAGTTTTATTCTCTGTGGATAACCCTGTAGAAATCTGTAAGTCAATTTTAAAGAAAAACCGCAATCGAAAATAAGTTTTTTTTTAAGATACGTATTCATACTACCAAATAAGTTTTATCAGACGCAGCTTTTGCATGGGACAATTGTGAATCAGACATGAATGAAATGAATGGGCAGCCTTTTAATGATTAGATTTCAATATGAAATAGCGTAGATTATGAAATATTTTGGTTTTTGCAGAAATAAAAGATATTTCCATCGTAATTTGTTAACATAGACGACACTTTATGAAATGTAAAAGGTTTCTAAAAATTATGGTTAAATGTTGAAATTAAGTGTTGAAATTAAATCTAACCTGTAAATATGATAGTTAATCATTTCACGACATTTGCGTAAACATGTATTTTCTGCGTCAGGGCTGTGTACGCAACTGAACAGCTGAGAGGATGAACTTGAAGATGCGTAAATGCGCGTATACTTTCACTTTGCGTAAGCATATATCTGGATAATAGACGCGTCTCAAATTTCTTCAAAATGTAAACATTCATATTTAATTACAAAAAAGTTCCAATTATATTTGAATCTCTTTCAAATTTAGAAATCGTGAATTAAGACATGAAAATCTGAAAAGTTTAAAGACGACATTCAAAAGCGTTTATTACAATTTTACAACTGTAAATACAACTTTTGAAATCTGAACATAATTCTAAACCCCTTTTCGTCAATTTTGATGAAATGGCAAACCTTTTTGAAATCAATACTTTGAGTTTTTGATATCAACTTTTCTTTATTGGACTTAAATATGAGGATCTGAAGAACAAAGGAATTGAGTCTTTGCCATCTGTATATAAATTTAGCTTGTCTGTCTGTCTGTTTGTTTGTATGTTTTTTTAATATCCAATAAACGTCAAAACGGCTGAACCGATCGGGCCCAAATTTTGTGTGGGACATCACGTGACCCCAGGAAAGGATTATGAATGATCAATTAGATAAATTTTACCCAAAAATCGAGTTTTTTAATGCAGTATAGCGTACTTGCACTATAATATGTCAAATTAAGTATAAAGCTCTTCCGGGGAATAAGAATAAGAATGTGAATAAGATGCTAACAGATCAAGATTATATTAAGAATTAAATTTTAAAAAGTAAGACATTTCACTTTTAATTTAGTGAAATTACATATATACCTAGTACATTGACGACAAGAAAATTTTAGAAATTAGAAATTAGAATATAAACAAAGACAATATTTTTTCAAAGTTTTGCAGAGTAGCTTTTCTAAAGATTTAAAAAGTTATATCNATTATTCATATTATTGTTAACTTGTTCTTCTAGTTTTTAGTTCTATAGATTTTGATTGATAAATCCCACCATTGACGCAGTTACGCAAATGTAAAGCATTGCGTAAGCCGACTAAATTAAGGGAAGTTATTTTTTAATGTACTTTACAAATTTTTGAATTATAATTTTAGTTTTTCTTAAATTTTAGACCAAAATAAGACAGACAAAACATATTTTTACAATGAAATTTGTGATATAAACCTATCCCTGAAGTGTACACTGAACCTGTGTACTCTGTAACCTAGCTAGAAGAAAGCCGAAACTTGCAGTTACTAGTTAGTTATTAAACATGAAATGATGAAAAGTGTAGACCAAAATCCAACAATTGAGGCATTTATAGTTTATTTTAACGTTCCCAAAAGTTATCTGTCGTTAATAGATTGAAGATTGCGTCTAAGGAGTCCTAGCAGGGCTGTTTTTTAACGTTTTTTAGACTTTATTATTAGATACACATGAAAACTCGTTAAGTTTTTTGGTTAATAACGCGAGCTTATTTAATTAAAAGGGTTTAACATCCGAATACATCTTTTCATTGCCCCCCAATCTCCCCGGAAAGTTTCGTCAGCCCCCCTTACAAAAAATTGTTTGAGTGTGTTTGTTTAATAATTAATTTTTCGTATTTCAGAAAAATGGTGATTACAGATTTCAACTACAGCTAAAATATGAAAGCTGTATCTACTGGTAATAAAATCTATTTAACAGAATGTGGGTGATTTTGATGTCTAAATAGGGGTATATTCCTAGAGAACGATTTTTGGACCCCCCCACCGGTGNTTGCAAAATACTTCGTTAATTCTTTTCTGATATATTTTTATATTGTTGTAAAATTAGAAATTTAATTTCAAAGAAGTCGTTGGCGTAATTTTACGTAACCCTGCATTTAAATTCGATTAACCACCTTTGCCTGGTCAAGAATGAAAGAGATATCCTTGGTTTCTTTATTAAAGTGATACAAGGGGATTTCTTGCTACGGAAACAATGTAAGATACCCCTTGTGAAGCTAGAAAAACGACATTATCTTCTACATTATTCATTAAATCAAATTTTAAAGGGTACCATTGTGAATCGGGCATATCCCTCTTTGAATTTAGGGTCTCTTGAAATTTCCTTTATCCTTGTTTAGTTGAGAAGAATGGGCGAGCTGAACCTGTTTATAATCTTATAGCTGGAGGGGTCAGCGGGCTCCTTTCTCTTACTGTTGGTAAATTATATATATGCAGTACACTTATATAATCTTATAGCTGGAGGGGTCAGCGGGCTCCTTTCTCTTACTGTTGGTAAATTATATATATGCAGTACATCTATATAATCTTATAGCTGGAGGGGTCAGTGGACTCCTCTCTCTTATACTGTTGGTAAATTATATATATGTAGTACACTTATATAATCTTATAGCTGGAGGGGTCAGTGGGCTCCTCTCTCTCTTACTGTTGGTAAACTATATATATGTAGTACACTTATATAATCTTATAGCTGGAAGGGTCAGCAGGCTCCTCTCTCTTATACTGTTGGTAAATTATATATATTCAGTACACTTATATAATCTTATAGCTGGAGGGGTCAGCGGGCTCCTTGCTCTTACTGTTGGTAAACTAGATATATGCAGTACACTTATATAATCTTATAGCTGGAGGGGTCAGCGGGCTCCTCTCTCTTACTGTTGGTAAATTATATATATGCAGTACACTTATATAATCTTATAGCTGGAGGGGTCAGCGGGCTCCTCTCTCTTACTGTTGGTAAACTATATATATGCAGTACACTTATATAATCTTATAGCTAATTTGGCTCCCCTCTTAGGAGCTCCTAAAGGGGGGGCAAAAAAATTGTTAACCCCCCCCCTTACATTTATTTCTGCTATACGCCCTTGGCAATTGTACAACTTAAATTTACTTTGTGCAATGTATTCAGGGCATCCGTTCGATACAGTGAAGGTCCGGTTGCAAACAATGAAACCGGTTTTTTGTTATGTAACAGGTTAGTAATTCACTAATCACTGTACACTGTATACTGTAAACTGTACACTGTACAGTGTATATATATGTCTTTATATGCCTATATTGTATTCCATGTTAGATTCAGGCCCGTAGCTAGGTGGGCATGTGAACCCCCCATTTTTACTCCGAAGCGGGGGCACAGAAGGGCACATTATCTGAGACAAAAAAGAAGAAATTAAAGAAGTTAAAGAAGGAAACGAAATATTAATCCTTTAATATCTAGGTGTAGAGAAACTACCGTATTCCAGTGGACTGGACTGTTTAAGAAAGTGTATAGTAAATGAAGGATTCCTATCATTGTATAGGAAATCAGTCATATTCATTAAAATTAAAATTAGATTTTTATTTTAATTTTTATATGAAAAAATTATTTTTTTCCAATCAATTTTTTCCCATTAAATTTTGAATTTTAGCATTGTATTTATTAAAAATGTTTTATTAGCAAAGAATTTATCTTACTGAGGAAAAACAAGTTTTTTTTTAATTATGAAAAAAATTCTCTTTAAATTGTTTTTAAAAAATGTTAAAAATGATGAATATGGCGTATTTTAGAGGAATGGGTGCTCTTGCTTTATTCTCCTTACCTAGGTTAATATTTCGATATTTGATTTTATTTCGTTTTTAAAAAATGATATTTTTCAACAAGTTCGGTCAAATTTTAAATATTTACAAAAAAATTCATTTTTTAGATTTTCAATAATGTTCTACACCAACTCATGGGGAAGAATATTTGGAAAGAAAATCGAAGAAAAATGTACACAACCAGGAAACTTGAATTATCTGAGACAAAAAAGAAGAAATTAAAGAAGTTAAAGAAGGAAACGAAATATTAATCCTTTAATATCTAGGTGTAGAGAAACTACCGTATTCTAGTGGTCTGAACTGTTTAAGAAAGTGTATAGTAAATATCTAGATGTAGAGAGACTACCGTACTCCAGTGGTCTGGACTGTTCAAGAAAGTGTATAGTCAATATCTAGGTGTAGAGAAACTACCGTACTCCAGTGGTCTCGACTGTTTAAGAAAGTGTATAGTAAATATCTAGGTGTAGAGAAACTACCGTATTCCAGTGGTCTGGACTGTTTAAGAAAGTGTATAGTCAATATCTAGGTGTAGAGAAACTACCGTACTCCAGTGGTCTGGACTGTTTAAGAAAGTGTATAGTAAATGAAGGCTTCCCATCATTATATAGGAAAACAGTCAAATTCATCCATCTTCAAATTAGATTTATATTATAAGTTTTATATGAAAAAATTACTTTTTTTTCAATCAATTTTTTCCCGTTAAATTTTGAATTTTAGCATTGTGCACAATTTATTAAAAATGTTTTATTTGCGAAGATTATCTTACAGAGGGAAAAAAAGGTTTTTTTTGTTAATTATGAATAAAATTCTCTAAGAATTGTGATTAAAAAATGTTTAACTGATGAATATGATGTGTTTTAGAGGAATGGGTGCCCTTGCTTTATTCTCATTACCTAGGTTAGATAGATTTTTGAATTTTTCTTTCGTTTTTAAAAAAAAATGAGATTTTTCAACGAGCTATGTCAAATTTTTAATATTTTTTACAAAAATAAACATTTTTTAGATTTTCAATAATGTTCTACACCAACTCATGGGGAAGAATATTTGGAAAGAAAATCGAAGAAAAATGTACACAACCAGGAAACTTGGCATCCTCTGATCAGCTGATCAATATTTCCCGCCAAAATAATTCTACGCGTTTCCGTCCTGAGTTCAGCACCACACAAATCCTCACGGGCACAATTATATCACAGGGACGAAAATTGGGTCACAAAATTTTAATATTTTTATTTTGGTTGATTATCAACATTAAAGGGACTGTAAAGGAAAAATGAAAGGGGGGTATAGGATGAAACCTGAGAATCTCAGGCGTTGAATGATACATATAACTAAGACTTCTATCTGATGTTCCTGTCTCGAGAAATTGATATAAAACTGTGTCAAATTTATACGAAATTTCATATATATGCAATTTTGTATAAACGTTGTAGTATTATAACAGATCATATTCAACAAATACGAAACCAATCTGAAAACGATTATATCCCAAGGAGCCTGAGAATCTCGGGTTTGCTCCTATTATCATTTTTTAATTTTAATTTTGCATTTTGAATAGATATAATTGATAATATTATTACATATAGTCCGTGTAGCCCTTATTACGTCACCAGAACTTCAGCCAATGAGAGTTCAGTATTGTTTTCATGTGATACAGATGGAAATCACGTGACCAGTATACTGCACGGCCATTGCTGAAGTTCTGTTGACGTAATACGGACTACACGGATTAAATGTAATAATATTATCAATAATATCTATTAAAAATGACAAATAAAAATTAGATAATTATAACAGGAGCAAACCTGAGATTCTCAGGTTTCTGTAGGATATAGTCTTTTTCAGATTTGTTTCGTAATTGCTGAATATGATATGTTCAAACCTACAACTTATATACAAAAATGTATAAATATGAATTTTTGTATTTTGACACAGTTTTAAAAGCATTCGATACTTTTAATTTGATATACAATGAACATTGAATCTATCCAAGAATTTTACTGAAATTTATCTTACGCCATTGTTTTTAAACCTATATTTAAATTTTTATGAATTGCTAAGAGAACTTATTGTCTGAATGTTATTTAAAAATTCCTTGGAAAATTCCTATTAATTTTTAACAAATTTATATACCAACGGTTGGACATTGCTAGAACCTATGTGTGATCTGATCTTGAATCTTAAATGCAATTGATCTCCATAAACAATGTGGGCACTTATAAATTTGAGAATAAATGCTTTATCCCTTAATTCTGCAGGGTATGTCCACAAAGGGATATCAAAGAGAGATTTAATAAAGTAGTTTTAGTTAGACGTGAAATTTTCGTTTAGTTGGTAGTAGTTCCATTAATTGTAAACCCACTAGGAATGTTTTTCTACGCAATTAAATAAGAAAACCCAAACTATAATTGTAATAAATCACTCTAAACGATGATTAATAAGATTCGCTTAAAATTATGTTTTGGTGTAATTAAACCAAATTAGATAACTTACCGTTTGCAAAATATGTTGTACAGGGCAATGGATATTTCAATATTTACCAACCAATATTCCTTGATAAATGGATATTTCAATATTTACCAACCAATATTCCTTGATAAATGGATATTTCAATAATAATGGATATTTCAATATTTACCAACCAATATTCCTTGATAAAGAAGTTATTTAAAATATTTCATATTTACCAACCAATATTCCTTGATAAACAAGTTATTTAAAATATTTCAATATTTACCAACCAATATTCCTTGATAAACAAGTTATTTAAAATAATTTTTCCTTAAAGGGAATTTACGCATAATTTCAAGTGACCTTTCATGCAAAGATAGAAATGCCCGATTTTCGACACTTTAAACATTAATCTGATTAAAATGTGGAAGATACCGTCGTTTTTCTTTCTCGAAAAGGGTTTATTTCTGGAATTTATTAATTTTTTGCTTGTTTTAAACAAGAAACACGCTCAAGTTACTTTCGCAGAGAAACCGTAAATGAAAATAACATTGATATCTAATTCTTACTTGATCAGACAAAGCTTTAAGGAATACCATGTAAATCGGGCATTGCCATCTTTGCATAGAATTGGAGGATTACTTGAAATTACGCTTACAGTCCATTTAAATTAATTAAAAACATGTTAAACAGAGCGAGTGAAGGTTATTTTACAAACCTGTCCTGAACATAAAGGTAAATTTATTTAATATAATTTAATTTCTTAAAGGCTTTTTTTTGACTAAATCAATGATGCTTCATATTTATGGAATCTTACCACTTAAGAACGATTTAAGGGCCAGAATGATCCATACTTATTTTTTTTATTTTTTGCCCGAATTTTTCCGAATCTATTGTATAAACAATAAATTGTGTAATTATAATATTTTCATTATGATTAGATATTTCATTTTATTTGAGAATAGTGAATACTGAATATAGATTATCTTGATAGAAAATAGTCATTTTAGACATCAGTTAAAATAGCATGAAAGAAATCCACTGCAAGAGAGCCTGAAAATTTAGTTGACGTGGAGAAATTTTATAAATCTTGATTAGTGTTAGGTATTTTCTCAAAGGTATTTTCCCAAGGGGGATTTCTCAAGTGGCAACTCCCGAAGGTTAGATTAGGCCTTATGAGGCGCCGCAGGCTGCAATAGAGGCCGAGAGCTGCAACAAGGATCGGCTAGGGGCCAAACCCTTCGGCTAGAACAGGCTAGGGGGACAGCGCTGCGGTTAGGACTTGGGAAGTTGTCGCTTGGGAAAATACCCTTGGAAATATGCCTTTGGGAAAGTACCTAACATCGTCTAGGAAACATCGTCTCGGAAGCATGAGGATTTGAAGATTTTCACTATTATAAAATCAAGGAAGTACAGGATATTTTGCGTAGTTTTAAATAATTGAACACTCCTATGAAATATAAAAGATTCTTATTTCGAAAAGCTTATATATACATATATCTTGTATGTCCCCTTGACCGATTTGACTAAAATTTTTATTTCGGAACTCGAGGAGGGCCAAGGAAATAATTTTAGCTCGGTTTCGAGATTCTATCTTTTATTGGGTCGACGTTTTATATCGAGTTTCCCGGTAAAAATCGACCATGTGCTGGTAAACGGCAGGGGTACCTATGAGTACCCTGGGCAACGCTGGGTTCCCAATCTAGTTTTATCATATTTTAGGACAGTTGGACTGTTTTAAACATATTCTACGGAGTGAAGGTGTTCAAGGATTATTTAGAGGAACCACGTTAACTCTAGGAAATTATTCATTCTTGACTTTTTTGTCCTTAGCATAACAATTTTCGGAAATTTATCATTTTTGTCCTTTTTCAGAGGAATTTTAGAGAAATAACATCATCTTTAGAAAATCATTCATTCGTAAAATTTTTAGTCTTGATTTTTAAAGAACCCTTAATAATTTAGTTGCCTAGATACATTAGAATAGACTATAAAGCTGAAAATTTTACAACCCCTTGTACATCATGAACTCGTTATTCAAAAAGCTCAATGAATACGTTTTACTTCTTGGGGTCAATCTGTAAGAAATGTTTTTTAAATGATCAGAGCTGGGAACTTTAGAATGGTGGATATCAGGATTAATGCTTGATCCACTCTTTTTCTTAATCTCCAGATTAAATATTGCTTGTTTTCCTCATGAATTTAATCTCCAGATTAATTAACAGATCGAGATTAAGGATATCACATTCTAAAGTTTTCAGCTCTGTATCTAGTCATGATCTGCATTGTGTGTATTACTTGTCCTCTAAAAAAAAACACATCATACATTTGTACGTACTCGGAGTATAAACAATAATTGCCGCAACTTTTTTTATTCCATGTACTGAATGGACGCAGCAGTACAGAGCTAAATTCATATTTTCAATTTCAGCTGAAACACTCTGTTATGGTGAAGACGACATGAGCTATCTAGTCTAATTTATCTAGGCTTAGTTGTAATTCGTTGAATTTTTGGTATTTTTAGAGGAATAACATAGTTTTAGTAAATTTGTAAATTGTTTTCATCTTGAGTCTTAAATTTAAGAGAAATGTCGTTGTAATTTGAATTGACCCTCTATTTAAATAGGATAGTGCATTTCCGATTCACAACAATATCCTTTTAACCTCTATCTGATCAATAAAAGGGAAGACGTCGTTTTTCTTGTTAGAAAAGTGTTAAATTCTGACATAGTTTCTATAAGAATGATTTATTTGTCCAGCCAGAGATATACCTGGGTTTGCAACATACTTCCTGGTTTACGAACATCTTAGGACATTAGTCAGACAAGAGAATACATCTGTTAGTCTGACTACAACAGCATTTATTGGTAAATATAGAATAATGTTGTTAGTACAACAGCTTTGATTGGTAATTAGCAACCTGTCTATTCTTATTAAATCTTAATTGTTGACTGTTGAGGTGGTTTAGCTGGAATGATTGCCTGGTCAGTTCAAATACCTGTGGATAATCTTAAAAATAGACTTCAAGCTTCTAAAGATATGGGTAAATATAATTTTAATGAATTATTGAAACTAAAGCGTTATATTAAGATTCCCTTCGTGTAAAGATGACAATGCCTGATTCACAACGGTGCCCTTAAAAGCCTTTTCTGAAGTATGAATTAGAGTTCACTGTTTATAATTTTGAAAACTAATAACTTTTAATCAAAACTTTCTTTTACGAACTTCAGCTAGTAATTTATAAAGAATTTCTTTTGGCCATCAACCTGTAAGGAGTCATGTGAGGTACTACGAACAAAATTGGGCCTGATAAATTCAGCCATTTTGACGTTTATTGGATACAAACAGACAGATATTACCAATGAGCCATTTGCCTTCCTTTAAACTCTTAAACTACAAATTTTCAAACTATGATAATCTTAGATTTTGCTATATCTGACAATTGCAATGCTTCAGCAAATTTTTAGCCGATACCAAATTTAAACTTGTAGCTTTATGTTTTTTTTTGTATTTTCTAGGTGGAGTTCGGTTACAGTCAGCCCTGAAGAAGATGTATTTGGAGGGAGGGATCTCTCAATTGTATAGGTAAAAATCAGGATTAGGATCCATTTGATTTTGAGGCGGATCTGGATCTGGATCTGGATCCTGTGTCCGAATTTAATGAATTTAAGCCACGTCTTATGCCTCAAAAACCGGTTTTAATTGACCGCCGGCTCAAATCTCGAAAATTTTAATAAAAATTTAAGTGAAACCAACCATATTTGAGCCGAGGCTTAATCTTAAACCGCGGCTTAAATTCTTTAAATTCGGCCTCTGAATCTGCACTGTAAACATGAACATTTCTCTAAGATTTACTGAAGTTTTTAACAAAAGAAAAATTTTAAAATTTTAAAAAGCACTGGTAAAAATTATCTAGAATCCACCAAATAGTCTTACTGCAGCTTAATTTAAAGGAAAACGTAGGTTTTTGAACATTTTATAGTGAACTTAGTGTAAAAATTACAATAGCAATATTTTTTTAGATCGACTAACATAGACGCTACTGTTTACAAAAAACATTTGTTGGATTTAAACACCAAAATTAGTTCACTAAATGTTTTATTGTCAAGGATTTATAAACACTAATCGACTATTAAATGTTGCAGGGGTAGTGCAGTCGTACTTCTGCGTGCTTTCCCCGCGAATGCCGCAACATTTGTTGGATACGAGTGGACCATTCAGCTGTTGCAACAGATTAATAGGAATAATTTGTAATATTTCAACTTATGTAATTGATCGTTTTTATTACACTGATCTAACATATTCGCCTTGGAATTATTATGTAACTTTTGCTCAAAGCTAACACCGGGTATACACATCACATTTTGTAATTTGTAAGCATAACTGGGCCGTGCTTATCGGGGGGTATGTTTTCCTACAATCTTATTATAAAAATAGTTCATTTATGCTATTCTTTTGCACATTTTTGTGCATCAAAGTTAAAATAAATGCAATGTGCTGAATGATGATGGGTTTCAATTTTTGCCAGATGAATTCACTACAATAGTTCTATATTCAAATTACATATAAATACGAATGTAATCCAACCTTTAAAAATCTAACCCCTGTGTTCTACTAGCAAAACTATTTTGATTTAGAAAATTTTTGTAAGACATTTCTGTAACCAAATTGATAAAGAGCAAAAAAAAACTCCTATTAGCAACTTTTTTTGTGCATTATATTAAAGGGACTATCAACTTAATTTTAATTAACTCCTAAATTAAAATTGTTACACACCTGATTCAAAACGGTGCACTTAGTACTTTAAAACACTGAGAAAGATATCTTTTTCCGTTTTAAAAAGATTTTTTAAAATCTCTAAATTTCCTTCATTATTTCTGCTTCTTTCATTAGCTAAGAACCACAATTGAAAAATATCAATTATTAATCATTTTTGCCGTGACAAAGACTTGTAAATCGGGTATTTAACTCTGTAAGTGAATAATCATGTGAAATTATGTCAATAATCTCTTTAAGGAATTAAATGTGATATTTTACTGTCCAATCAATATGAATTTATTATTTATATTGATGTCAATTTAATGACTTATGCAAATAAACTATTTTCCTGCTGGTTAACAATGTAAAATTATTTCATTTTAAATTTGTTGGTTTTTCTTTAAAGATGATCATTGATCATGTGGTAACGACCAAGAACATGTTCTAACAAATGTAATTGTTAAGATATTTTTTTTAAAGGATTGGGAATGTTCAGGGTTACCCACAAAGGACGAGCCTTTAGAGACGACTGTACAGAATATGTATGGTCTGTTCCCTTATATTCATTATTCTCTGCAACTGTAAACTTGTTTCTTTCTTTGCCTAATCTAATATAAGCTATTTTAAGGAAGAATACTTAACTTACCCTTGGAATCGTTAAAATTCAAAGAGTTTTAGGTCGTCTTTACAGTCTCATCTATTGTGAGTTACCCTGTATATCAGGGACACCCTTCCCCTTCTAGTCATTATTAGCGAAATTTTGTAACAACTGCAGGATTGATTAAAAACTTAACGAAAATGTTTGACACGGAACGATTAAAAAAAATAAAAACTACAGTGATAACCAGAAAACTGTAGAATAGGACGACGATATTAAGGCAATACTGAAGTGCATTTGATGTTATTTCAAAGCAAAATGGTTTACTATTAATTTATTAAATCACTTAAAAAGTGAAATGGGTCTGTTTACACTCCACAATTGATGTGTCTCATGTTCATTGGACTATTTTAAGTCCTAACTTTATTGAGTCTTAAAGTCGACTTCATATTCCATTTAGTATATTTTACAGGGTTATCCACAAAGGAGAAAACTTCAAAGACGACTCTTTGGAATGTATTTAGGTGTTTAATCAGAAACTCAAATTAAAACTTCTAATTTTAGATCGTCATTTAAAGTACCATCCTTTGTGGGTAACCATGTATCATTATTATTATACAATACATAACATGTTGCACAATGTACAATTTTTAAGATAACTACATATTTTAATTTTTCAATCATTGACAATTTTTTTTTCTCAATGTTCATTTCTTGTAAAATTAACAAAGAGAGAAAAGAAGTAACATTACATGTGGTTTGGGTCTCTATATGGATAATTACATGTGGTTTGGGTCTCTATATGGATAATTACATGTGGTTTGGGTCTCCATATGGATAATTTAATGGACATAATTATTTTTCAGATTCAAACATTTGGTTTTATCTTAACTATGGATCATGAAGGTTTATTGAAGTTTGCAGCAATGATATCATATCGTTTTAGTCACGTTATCATTGACAAAAGACACAAATTAGTTTCAAAAGAACAAGATTAGTTTCTCTTTTGGATCAGGAATAATAATTAATTTGAAGTTAATTTTTCCTTTGTATAATAAATCCATAATGTGTACTGCTCAGTGATCCTTTTTCAAGCATCTATTTCATTAAAATTTGTTGCATTAGTTTGAACAGATTGAGAAGATTGTGATTTTTGCTTCTTTTAGATTAAATAATAAATATTAATCTTCAGAAATTTTAAACTTAATTCCATAGATGTGGTCTTTGTTTTAAGCTCAGGTTAATCAAGGGTAGGTATTGTAGGATATCTCTCATATTCTGGTTGGATTTCTTAGAATTCAGGTTCTTCGTTTTCTTAAATATTACTTGGGCTTTCTTTTGAACTGGAGAATTGGGGTAAGGATATGGCGTCTCCTCTCACCTTCCTTTCTTCTATCCTACCATTAGTCCCTGCATATTCATTTTATAATTAAGATATACGCCTTGAGCCCTCTGTTTCAAGACTTAGTTAACGGAGTTGGGGAAGTTTCCAAAGAAAATTTAAAAATGGCAGTTTTAATTTGGTACAAAAGAATCATTGAAATCGTTTTAATTATTCAAACAACTATATAGTGCAGGGGCGTATACAGGAACTGTCCAGGGGGTGGCCAAATACTATTTTAACATTCCAGGAGGGGGGGGGGGAATCAGTACCAATAAAGGGCTAAACCCCCCTGAAAAATATAGTTTTCACTTCTTCAGAGGAGAGGGGGCTGGGGGTAGCACTCAAAGCTCCCCTGTACAGTGTACAGTGTACACGCCCCTGGCCCCCTGGCAGTGATACTAACCTATTCTCAATATAGACCAGTGATGTTGTTCTAAATCCATTTTAATCATCTTTTTAATACATTATAATTTATAAAGAGGTATTTGTTGAAGTAACTTTCTAGAGAAACTTTTTTTTAAGTTGATTAAATTTTCCTAAGTAACATGTTTCTTCTAAACCCAATAAACGGATCGAACACAATGATATTCCTTGCCTTAACAGTGTTAATTATATAAATTATGTTCACAGTGAATTAAATCTAAAATTTAAATATTGTCAATTCACGTATATGACATTTACATGACGAATAGAATTTTGAAAATTTTGAGTTTGATAAACGCCTGGTTATCGCTGTGGGTACCTAAGAATATGGAATAGAAATAGAATCCAACTTGGATTGTAAGAAATCAGATTAATAAAATGTAACATGGATGATGGATGAAGTAAAATATTAGGAAATTGAAAATGTTTATTCATTTCATTCATCTGTTCATTGTTAAAGTGTATTTATTTATTCTGTACCTGCATTCCGGCAAATGTATAGATGTCAGTGACCAGAACACCCTGTCAACAAATACAAGGTGTGTATAAAATATTTTGATTATGTCACATAGTTTATATTTATAATTCCTATACCTTCGGTTGTTGTAAGTATTTTTTAAGGGTGTCTCTTTGCTCCATTCTCTGGTCGCTTGTCACACTTGTAAATATAGAGTACTGGATCATATTCCTAAATTAAAAATAAGTTTAATAATTTTTGTTATTTCTTGCAGTAATTTAATAGCCAAAGATATTTAGGCTCAAGCTTGTGCTCATCCCTGCAACTTTACCTTATATTTATTGTAATGTGTATTGCACATATTTTGGGATAAGACATATTTAAAGATAGTTTCTTAACTGAGCGCTGTACATAGGACAGGTAAGGGGGTCGAGCACTGCGGTTCAAATATTCTGTGTTTTTGGTAAAAATGAAGAAAAAATATTGCCAATATTTCTACGACGTACATTTTTAACTCTTTGAGACCTCTACAGCACCTGCACCTAAAACGTTTTTGGATTTTGATGGCTTTTGCATTAAAATTGGGCTACAACCAACTAACATACATAGGACAACTATCCTATTACAGGGATGAGGCGAACTGTATATATACCAAAACCCCCAAGCTTTTTAAAGGTCAAACCTTTGGTTTTCAGGATCTCCACTCATCATCTTTCTTTTCAAATCAGCAAAGACAGTGCTAAAATTCTTAGCATATCTATTAATGAGAATCACAACAGGTTCCTCCTTATCAGGGTAATTTTTCTCCAACGTTGTTCTAAATTAAAATAAATTCAGTGATGACAATTAAACAGTAAAATTTTACCTATTATAACCGATATTTATCTCTGAAAGAAATCTAATGAATTTAGTAGTTGAACTGCGTAAATATAGTTGAACCACTAATTTTAATAAAACTGGATTTTGCGATAAAAAATTCAATTTTCGCAAATTTGCAAAATTTTTGGAAGATTCTAAAAGTAGAGCACAAGAGCTTTCTAATGATGTATCATTTGTCATATTTGGACATAAAACATGGGATTTAGAGGGGGGGGGTCAAATTGACCCCCCCCCCAGCGTATCCTGGTTTTCAAGTACCCCAGCAGGGATAGGGTTAATAAACTAATAAAATAATAGGGCTTATCTTTGCTTTAGAGCCTGGCATGGCCAAAAGGCGGTCAAATGTTCTTTCATAGCTATCACTTAACTTTTTGCCTAATAGAGTTAAAGGCCTTGTAGTGTGTTTAAAGGGTATAATTTAAATAATTGTACAAGCGCAGATATTATTCTGCATTAATAAGATTTTTGTTCTAAATGCAAACTTCATGTAGTCAATGAAACAGGTTGGTTAAATTATATTCCCATGATTGAGTTAATTGGAATAAATAAAATCTATTCCAAGTCATTCTCCTATACTGAGTTATTTCTGATTGACAGGATCAGTGTTAATGATTTGTTCATGGAGAAATTGGAAAAATTTCCTATGACAGGGTGATGCTTAGGTCCATATGGGTCTCTAAATCTAAAAAATTATTAATTTTCATGATATTCTTAATTACAATGGTGATTCTATACAATTAATTGTTGTTTTTCATTTACACAAATATAAGAGAAACCGACCAAAAGTGATGGAAAATGAGATATTTACCGTTAGTCTAGATTGAGACATTTATGTTTTAAGCAAAAATAAACAACTCAAAACAGGCTCAATTTAAAAACAAGGCTCTCTGGAACGCTTTCTCATGTCACTAATAACACTTTCGGATTTCTGCTCAAAGGAAGCAGCAAACTTATCCACAAAAATTAAAAGTTCTCCATTTGTACCAGGTTGAGTGGTTTTAATTTCATGATATGACAGTTTTACTCTAACCAGAGCCATTTTATTCAACCATCAAATGTTCACTCAAACTAATCAACTTTCCAGATTTGCAGACCAAAATTGGCGCATTTTTATTAAATAAAATTTAAGTAAATATAAAATAAAATTTGTAAAAATAAATAAAAAATCAAGTATGCTATAGTAAATATACTAAGCCATGTTTATTAAATGCATTTTTAACAAATTTAAAAAATGGCAGTCTCAAATGATGTTTAATAATAAAAATATGTGAAAAAAATTGCAATATAGAGAAAATAAAATTTTTGAAAAACTTATCATTTGAATTGTGTAGAATATCCAAATTCAAATCAATTCAGAATATTGAAAATATTGAAATTTGACCAAGTTAGGTCGAAAAAACACTTTTTGAGTACTTGATGAAATTTGTTAGAGAAAAAATTATTATTGACCATTACTTAGTCTTTCCCAATTTTCAATATTTTTCAATTCTGTAAAATGTTTTGAACTCTGGTTTTCCAGTCGGTTCCATGCATACCTATTACCCATTACCCATATTGATAAGATTTAAAAAATTTTCACTTTCACTTCCTCTTCTGACTTTTTCTCAAGTTTTATCATTAAATCCCATTTGAGGTATTTGAGGGCCCATTTTTTAATTTTGTGAAATATGTTTTTTTTAACATGCATTAAAATTTTGCTTCTGTAGAATAGAAAAATTTTAATATATTAATCTTACATTTTATCCATGGGAATGTTTTTTTACTTTTCCTTTTTATAAAAATTTTTCCAAGCCTTTATCTTATGTCCATTGTTCGGAAATAGTACGTTGATTTTGTACCTTGAAAAGCGTTTATTTTTGACACCCTGTATTTACCTTAAATTAAGATATTATCAAAGATTTAATTATTATCTTCTATGACTATATATAAAATCAACTTGCCCTACTGCTCTGTTTCCTGATTTTTCATACTCTTCTACCAGATCACTCAATCCACACACCTCAAGTAACAAGGCATTATAAAAAATGCATCAATAAAAACTCATTAAAGGGAATGTTCTTGTAATTTCATGAGACCTTCCATTACAGGAGTTTCATGCCTGATTTACAACTGAACCATTTTGTAAAATTGATGGAAATTTTCTGGTTTTTCTCTCTGGAAATTAATAATTTTCAATTATGATTCTTTAAAAAGTGACTTAATATTCTTTGCAGAAGAGACCATAAAGAAAATGTACAGAATTTATCAGTTTTCAAGATAGAAAAAAACGACAATCTTCCTGATTCTTACTAACAATAAAGGTTTAGAGAGTACCATTGTGAATCATGTAAGTAATTCTTTAAACAAAGGCTCAGGGGAAATTACGCCAATAGTACCTTTAAGTCTCAGCTTTAAGTGCATATCTAATTTTAGTAGGATATACTGTGGCTCATTTTTTCATGTGGCACAGGTGACATTTTAGCAAAACTTTCAATCACAGATTGTCCCCTACCTACCTTCATTGTTTCTTGTTTCACTTGATCATAAAAATCAAGTTTATTGCAGAAATCTAATATTGTCTCATTTCTCCAGTGTTCTTCAAATTTAATCTCTGTTGCATATTTATATAAATCTGCTGCTGCTGCTGCTAGGGAGATGAAAAGAACCTTGCGACCAAATTCCCCTATTTCTGCAACAAATATTTTCTTTTGCTTAAATGCTCATTATTCTAATCTAATCTTTTACAAACAAAAATTATAAATCATATTATTTTTAAATGACTAGATTTTTTCACTTCATTCTTCAGAAAAATATTTTTATTTTTATTTATTCAAATTGATCAAATTAACCTTTATCCATGGTATTAAAAGAGTTCCAGGTCGTCTGTAAAGCCTTATTCTTGAGAGTAACCAAACACAAGGAAAGTTTTTAATTTTTAAGACACAACTAAAAAAGTTATCATTATGCCTTTATGAATGAATATGAAAAATACATATTGAAATTGCTACGTAATTTGGAATTTTAGACTTTCTCTCTATTTTCCGTAGCGATCATCCCTAAAGCTTCAGGGATGAACAATTTTCAGGGGTGAACAGTCACTCCATGGCTCACTCCTGTATCCACCCCTGGTGGTCACTAGTCAGCCTATCATAATATTCATTGGAGTTCAATCAATGTATTCATATTTGTATTTCCTTGATTTTTGGCAGCCTTCTCACTTAACTCCAGGGCTTTTCTATAAATATAAAATTATCTTTTTTTCTGCAAAACAACATTAATATTCTACAACTAATCTATAATTCCAAAATAAAAAACACTTTTTTTTCACTTCATACCTTAATGTTATAATCTATTAGATTAATATAAATGTAATTTCTTACCTTCAGTAAAAGCGTCTTCACAGTCCCGTAATCAGCAATGAAAATAACACGCAAACAACTCAAAGCTTCAAGTTGCCCTTTTCTCAACCAGATCCAACTTTCAGGTGTTTCTCTGGAATCACTAGAAAGTCCTGATTCACTTCTAGTAATTGCGTAGTCGTTGAGCTTTCTGTTCTCTGTTAGTGTTAAACTCCATGGGCTTGGGTTCTTCATGATCATAGTAAAGCCAAGTATCCTGGTGATAAGATTGGTGTACTCATGATTCATATCATGTATTGGTGGAAATCTGTCCAAAACATTTCTCAACCAGGCCCCCATGTTTTTCAGCTTAATGTTGGACAAAAGTTGGAATATGTTTGTTTTAACAGCATATATGTAAATAATGTGAATAATTGGCTTTAGGCAGGGTTAATTAATAATTTAGTTATAAATAAAGAAAAACATGTGTTTAGTGAAGGCAATTGGAAAATTACGACTTTTTAGTGGCTTTTAGCTAATAATTTGGAAAATTTCAGATTTTAATGTCTAAATCAACAGCTAATAATTTGGAAAATTTCAGATTTTAATGTCTAAATCAACTGTATTTTTTTACAAAATAAATATTTAATGAAAGTGTTTTTTTTTCGAAAATATGGACTTTCTCTTTTTTGGTCTGAGCTAGCCAAAAATGTCAAAACAAATTTGTTTTCAAGTAGAAAGAGAAGCGTCATTTATTTGATTAATAATTTGCTATAACATTGTTTTCAAACCAATGATCCACACTTTCCTTTCGTCAATAATGTAATTTATGCAGTGAAGACAGCATCCACAGTTCTGTTTAATTTTCTCCTGATTTTTCTCCTCTTCCAGGTTAAATATTAATGGTAATGAAACACATTTCACTAATTTCCACTGTTCAGACAGGATATTCCAGTGTGCAGCTTTTAAGAACTGGTGGAATTTTTCACACTGCTGTGATCCTTCCTTGAGTCTGCGGGAAAACTTGTATCCTCTGTTGCTGCTTTAGTTTCAATAACAATTAGCAGCTTACGCAATGGGAGAACAATCAAGGTATCTACTTCTATGTTAAGTAGCTTTTCTGTAACTGTCGGCTTCACTGGCAGATGTTTTATAAAAGTACTGGACATATAACCCTTCATGAGGAATGCTTGTTCATCTGATGAATCATCTAACTTATTAACTTCAGCTAAAACCGTTCCATACAGTAAATCTTCAGCATAAAAACCAGCCAATTCTGATAATTTTTCAGTTTTTTTCTTTGAGTTGTTCTTGATTTCTTCCAATTCTTGTGATTTTGCTTTCTGTTTCTTAGAGTTGTTTTTGGTTTCATAAGGATCATTACTTTTAGCAATGTATGGTTCATGATCTGGGGGCATAGCTATGAGTCCATGTGGAAATGAATCAAACTCTTTCATGGCCATTTTTAATTTGTCTGTTAAGTGTTCTGGAAGCACGTGGTACAAAGGATCTTCTTTGGTACTGCTAGGATTGAATCCAATAAAAGGACTGCATATTCCAAGTTTCAATTTACAGAGACATTCTTTGGGTTTCTCAGGTTCCCCTTTCTAAATTACAGATTTTTCATGCTTTTATGAATTAACATTTTGTTACAACATTTTCCTTTTTAAAATAATTCTTTTTATTTGTCATTAATGGTCACTAATTTCAAAATACATCATATATTTTTAAGATAATTATTTATATTCTTATGTTGCTAATGTGTTAAACCCTTAGGTCTAACTAAATGATACATGGTGGGGGTTGAAAAATGTTTATTGGTTAAAACTTGTTACGGAATATATAGGAGCGTTTTTACTTTCTGTGGGGGGATTTAGGGAGCTTCTCAACTGCTGGAATTGATAAGTCTTCAGAACACGGAGCAGTCTGGAGCAGAACTGTAGAATGCTGCTTCTGTAGGGAACTGCTTTAAGCTGTAGGTGTAGATGAACCTTTAGAGCTGTCTGGAGCAGAACTGTNGAATCTGATGGTGGTGTATTTTAAATATTTTAGAAATTTCCCAAATGTCTGGGTATCCTGGAAATTTCTCATGCCTTGGTATTTGGAAAACTTACCAAATCCCTATTTTCTTCACAAGTATAATTCTGTCGTGTCATAGAAAATCTAGCAAAATTGGTAAAACTTAAATCTAAAACCGTAACAAAAATTATCACCTATGAAAATGATAAAAACACAGTGGTATAGTCGAAATCTCCAACAAGAGCAATATTTGTACAATTTGAAAAATGCCATGTATTGGGAGCATCTCTGAGTGGGATGTGAACAGCTCTGAGAGATATCGGAGCAGCTCTAGGAGACATGGGAGCAGTTCTAGGAGGGATTGGGAGCAACTTTAAAGGTTACTAGTAATAACATTAAACCAAGCTGCTGCAGCAACTGCTCCTGGGTCCTCTTCAGAAACCTGGAAAAAATAATTGTTTTACACTTACTGTAATGTATTGTAATTTGTACACTATACATTATTGTACACTTACTACTCAGCTAGATAAGTTTTGTTTTTGGGGAAACCTTGTACTTAAGTTTGTATGATATCTGTACCTTATCTCTAGACACATAGCTTGCCCTGCCAGCCCTAGCTACCATCGTCGCCGTTTTCTTCGCGCCGGTCAGAGCAGCTTCACCGGCTGCTGTTAAAGAACCGGTTTTACCCCCGGTCTCCTCTAGGACTAGGAGGGCCGGGTAGAGGGCATCGATCTGTAAAAAGAACAAAGGAAATGAGTTTTTGCCACATTCTCTAATTTTTGTATCCCTATATCTTTGAAACCAGATATCGTAGACCTTTGATAATTCCAACTATGAATTCTGTTAGATCTTATAATAAAAGTTTAAAATATAAGGCTTACACGATCAGGTTGCTAAGATTGAATTAGAAAATTTGAGTTTGGGGCAAAAACACAGTTCCTTTGCTCAAGTCCTTTGAATCTCCAGAATTCAAAAGAAGCAGACCATGTTTTAACAATCTGAAATTTTTGAGTTTTAAAAATATCTGTCTGCTCCCGTTATAATGGAATTTTGAATGATCTATTTATTGGAATTAAAGGAATTGAGTCTTTGCCACAAACTCGGATTTTTAAATCCCAATTTCTTTAAATCCAAATGTCGTAGACCGTAGATATTTCAAATTATGAATTCTGGTGGATCAAACATTGTAAGTTTAAAATATGAAAGGTATGCATCATCTGGTTGTTGAGATTTAGGTTTTATAAAATTGGGATTTGTGGTAAAAACTCAATTCCTTTGATGCTGAATTCCAGTAAAAAATGGATTTTGAAAAAACAAATTGTATGAATTCAGCATAAAATATCAAAAAAAAATTGTAAAAAAATACTTTGTTTTGAAACTTTAATTTTTTGGGCCTTTGAAGGGATTTTTCTAACATTTAAGTGTCGGATCAGAACCGTTTGGATGATTTAGCAATTTTTTTTATCACCAAATTTGTTTAGATCTCCCAAGAACAATCTCCCGGTAGGTGGTTAGCTCAGTTCCAATATTGATGTTGCCTAGTGGAGAGTCACTTGAATATATAACAATTTAATAAACTGCCTAATAAGTTGAATGTTTGGCTAAAATTTTTATCAGCAACTTTTTTTATTGCTCTTGACCTTCTCTATTTCTTTATTCCCTCTGGACGGGTTGGATAAATCTCCGGAGAAATCTAAACCATATCTTAACCTTACTTTATTTCTTTATTCCCTCTGGACGGGTTGGATAAAACTCCGGAGAAATCTAAATCAGATCGAAGTTAACCTTGTCTCTTTATCTTTCTGATTAAACGGATCCAAGTTCTCCGTATTCTCCTCCGTTCCCAAACCTCTAGTGTCCAGAATCTTACTAATGAGTAATGACAAAACAAATTTAGTATCTGAGCTGGAAACTTATGTGTTAGAAACTCATAATCCTGATCGCTTGATCTTGATATCCAGTGTGGTCACTTATAATTTGAGGATAAATGCTTAATCTCGTCTATTCTATTATTCTTTAAGGGTAAAATCACACTGCGGGATATCAAATATTGATTAAATTAATCTGCAGATTAACAAAAGATTGAAATCCGGAATACAAAAGTAACACAAAATATTTCATGCCTTAAGCTTTCAAAAAATAAATATCCGTAGCAATGTCTTTTTGTTTGTTTTTATCCAATGAACGTAAAAACAGCTGAGCCGATCGAGCCCACAATGTTTAAGACGGCTCTCATGACCTTAGGGAAATTATATTATTATTATTAATATTATTATTATTATAATCATTATTATTATTAT